AGCCAGGTTTGGTCCCGATTGGTCTGGGTTTCAGTAAAAGACTTTTTTAAAGTTAACTACAACAATGAAGACAGATGCCATGTGTTGGCAACAGCTCCCAGGGCCCTAAATGTCCAGGTGACCTAAAAACAAATTTGGCAACCAATACAAATTTATATCATTTAAAAAATGATCAAAGCAATAATATATCATTATCAAATAAAATGTTGATACAGAGAAATGTCTTGCCTGTGTGTAATTTTGATAGTAAAATGCAAATGTTGACATTAAAATGGCAGTACTTTAATATGTAAACTATGCAAACCATCCATAGTCTCCATGACTGATGGTTCAGTGCCAAATAATATCTCTGGAAATGAGATATGCCAATGCTAATACAACTGCATACCAAAATACCATTGACTTATCATAAGTGGTTCCCATTAAACCGACCTAATCACAAATTTCAACATGTAAACTATGCAAAAATTCCCAACTCAATGAACCATGACAGAAGAGGCAGGGCCATATAATCTCCAAGGAAATAAAACATTCTTAAATACTAATACAACTACGTACCATTAGTTGTTTTCCTTAATCTGGCCTAATCAACAAGATTTAACATGTAAACTATGCTTAAAAAAAATTAACAAAAAAACAAAATCCGAGATAAATTCAACAAGAGGCTCATGAGAGCCTGATATCGCTCAACTGGCTGTAATTTCAGTTTCAGGCATTTGACTTATTTGTAGATCTTACTTTGCTGAACAATTTTGTCATTTACACTTTCTCTCTTTCTATAATAATATTAAAGGTAATACATAACCCAAAACTGTAAAATTTCCTAAAAATTAACTATTTCTGGACAGTAACCCAACAATGAGTTGTCCTATTGGTCTGAAGATTACTTGACTGGAAGATCTAAACCTGTTTAACACTTTCACCTATGTCAGTTTTGCTCTTACTGCTTTAGTTTTTGAGATGAAAGCCAAAGACTTCATTTGACCCCTATGTTCTATTTTTAGAAACTGCCGCCATGTTTTTGAATGGATCAAATCCCGGAATACAATCTATAAACTAGATACCCTAAGGAACATTCAATAAAAGTTTTTAAGTATTTGGCAAAGTAGTTTCAGAAAAGCAGATTTTTTAAAAAGTAATTGGACTTTCACAAAAAAAAAACATTTAGAGCAATAACTCCTCAAGGGGTCAATTGACTATTTTGATCATGTTGACTTATTTGTAGATCTTACTTAGCTGAACATATATGGGTCATTTTAAAAAAATGTCGAATTTTCAGTACACCCATGCTAAATTTTTTATTTCTAATGGAAATTTCAGTTGTAATTGTTTAAATGAAAGCTTGTAGGATTTATGATTCAGAACATTAATAATAAACATGATTTACATCTATTTTCATAAGATTAAAATGTATTTAAGTCCGATTTTTGGGTAATTTGTGTGCGTACAGTTTCAGAAAAACACATTTCAAATGATTTTTTTCCGATTTTCTGATCACCTTGATATCTGCAAGAGACTTTTTAAGAACGTTAATAATTACTCTAACGAAAAATCGTAGCTTCTTTATCATTATATGTAACATTTTATCTACAAACTTAATTCAATCCGCGTACATGAAGTTCATGTCCATCCTGTTACCGCTACTTAAATCAGCCGTTAAATTATTCTCCCTATGAATATTGAATTAGTCAGTGTTGATTTCAAAAGTGCAAAGTAACCTTTACATTTCACACAGCACGTTTCTTGAACGACAGTGTAGAGACAAGAAATTTCAAGACATTTAGTGAAAAAAAATAGGGGGTACTTTTTTTCATGTCTATGCTGTTACCAACAATTTTGATTAATTACACCAAATGTATACTTGTAAAAAGTGCAATAACGTGTTGGATACCAAAGTCACAACAGAAAAACATTATCACCTCACCAAAGGTAGTAGTTATTTCACAACAGCATTCGAAAATGAAGAAATTTTGTCTATCCTGTTATGTCTATCCTGTTACTATGGTTGCTATGGTTACAGTAACAGGATAGACAATTGTAGACAGAAACGTTGTTAAAAAGTTTATCATAACATATAGTTGCAAACAGAATTAAATCTTTCGTTGTTTGAACTCATCTTAAGGTTATAACGTCTTAATCTTCCCAATTTAGCATTTGCAGGTGCAATACTGATATCGGTAACAGGATAGACAAAAAGGTAACAAGATAGAACTTTATATAGTGATATATCATTAACGTACGTTCCTGTTACCAATGAAATAAAGACAAAAGTAAACTAACATGTAAGGGATTAACTTGATGTTGGGTTTATTTGAAAGAGAGAAAAAATGCCGAACAATATGAATTGCTATCTTAGACTTGCATTACTGGTGGTAATTTTTACAACCTTTGAAAACCAATTTTTAGAGGCATTTTTCAGTACAACCTGGAATTTGACAAATAATCTATTATTTCACAAAATGAATATATATAGAAGTTTATTCTCTTGAAAACCATCTAATTGGCTACGAAAAACAAGCTTAAAATTTTATCTAAACCTTTTCTTAATAACCCAAAATTTCTTTTGAAAATGGTAACAAGAGAGACAAAATATTGTACCACCTATCAAAAAATGTTTCAAGATATTCTTGTATGACATTATTAAGATTGCATCTTTTAATACGTTGTTCTATAAGTACTGTTTGTTTTGATTTGCTTATGTAGAGGGTTGTTTGAATAAGTAACTTTTAATAAATTTTTCAATTTCAAAATTCGACATTTTTTGAAAATGACCCATATGGCCATTTATACTTTCTCCCTATCTATTATAATATTAAAGAAAATAACCAAAAACAGTAAAATTTAATGAAAATAAACTATTTCCAACAATAACCCAACAATGGGTTGTCGAACTCGTCTGAAAATTTCATAACAGATAGATCATGACCAATTTATCACTTTAACACTCTTTCACTTTTGCTCTAACTGCTGTAGTTTTTGAAATATACTGTATAGCGGGTTATTTTCGCGGGTGTAAAATTTCGCGATTTAGGGGCAACAAAGTATACGAACAATTTTGGCGGTTTTTATTTTGGTTGATTCTTAAATCCCAATTAAATATTTTTGCGGATACTGAAATTGTTGCAGATAAAAAGTTGTAAAAATTGAAAAACAAGTGTCTATTGTTATGGTTAATTGATTTTTTTCCCGAATGAAGTCTTATTTATTGATTATATTCTGATACAGTTAATCAATAGAATACCGGTAACTTAGATATATGTCACAGGTATACACTCTTCTTATAAATTTTACGGTTGATTAGTTACGAAATTGACTGGACCTTTGATGTACTTACTAATTAGGTTATAAAATTATCAAGAGTGACTTACACCTCTTATGTAATTTGACACAAATTAATAAGGGTAATTACCTGATAGAGTACATTATACTCTTAATCTATTTGACACTAACTGAATAGGGTACATGTATACTCACCTGACAGTCATTTTATAAAATACATGTATGTACATTGCCGTTTGGCATTTCTGTTATTAAAACTAACCTATACCGCTATTGACCTGCTGACTGAAAAAAAAAAACGCTTTAGCTATTAGAAAGTACCGAACGTTTGCATAAATTTTCGCGGAATTTATTTTCGCGATTTTCATTTATCCGCCAAAATAAGCGAAAATAAACACTCCGCGAAAATAACCCGCTATACGGTAAGCCAAAGACTGCTTTTGTCCCCTATATTCTATTTTTAGCCATGGTAGCCATGTTTGTTGATGGATCAAAACTTTGGATACAATTTATAAACTAGATACCATAAGGAACATTCAGTTAAAGCTTAGAAGTATTTGGCCCAGTAGTTTCAGAGAAGAAGATTTTAGAAAAAGTAATAGACTTGCACGAAAAAATGTAAAAAATAAATGTTTCAAGGGCAATAACTCCTTAAGGAGTCAATTGACTATTTTGATCATTTGACTTATTTGTAGATCTTACTTAGCTGAACATTTTTGACTTTTACACTTTCTCTCTATCTATTATGATATTAAAGATAATAACCAAAAACAGTAAAATTTCTTAAAATTAAACTATTTCGACCAGTAACCCTACAATGGGTGGTCCAATTGGTCTGAAACTTTAATAGCAGATAGATGTTGACTTATTCATCACTTTAACTCCATGTCACTTTTGCTCTAACTGCTATAGCTTTTGAGATAAAAGCCAAAAACTGCATTTGACCCCTATGTTCTATTTTTAGCCATGGCAGCCATGTTTGTTAATGGATCAAAACTTTGGATACAATTTATAAACCAGTTACCCTAAGGAACATTCAGATAAAGTTTAGAAGTATTAGGCCTAGTAGTTTCAGAGGAGATTTTTAAATGTTAGCATACATTATGAATAAATTGTGTAAAATTGTCTTTAAAGGGCAATAACTCCTTCAGGGGTCAATTGACAATTTTGGTCATCGTCATGGGTGACGACAAACACGACGACGACGACGCCAACGACGGACGCCAAGTGATGGCATAAGCTCACATGGGGCCCTTCAGGCACGGTGAGCTAAAAAGGGAGAAATCCATAAAAATTGACAATATCAACTATATATATCAATCAATGGAACAAATGGAAAATAACGGTAATCTTCCTGACTTGATACAAGTTTTTTTCGAAGAAAATGGTGAGTTAAACCTGATTTTATAAGCTAGCTTAACCTCCCACTTGTATGACAGTTGTTTATAGTTCCATTAAGGTTTCGCTTAAACTGACCCAATCAGAAACTTTAATCGATTGTCGCCGTCTACGGAAACAGTATGCCTACGTCTCACCTTTGCAACTTTGTAAAGGTGAGACAATAAAATTGAAAATTAAAGAGCATACTTCTGATTGTTTTTGTATATTTAAATATTAGTAGTTACAAAAATGTGTCCTAAGCCATCACTGGCCATCAGCTAGATTTGAACCCTGGTAATTCTGGGAACTCAATGCGTGTGTGCGTGTGACATATGACTTACAATGAGATAATTACTCCATGCACTTCTTATTAACATGAGCATTGGTGAATGAAGGTTGAGCAAATAAATGTTGAGTACCATCTTGCGTCTCTCTCCAGGACTTTCTGTTCCTAGCAACAAACCATTCACTGAACTCCCTAGGTCTGATGTAGATTGATTAATGCCAAGTAAACTGTAATTTAAATCATCATAAACTTAAAAAACTAAAATCATATGTATTCAAATGTTTCTACTAATGCATGATATCAAAATAATTGTTTTTAATTCAAACTAGGAAAATTGAAAAATTTATGGACAGTGAACTGATTTTGTGAGATAAGTGGATGTTTATTGCATCAACCCTAAGTTATAGATAGATAAAAATTATATATCATAACCCAGGCTTCACTCGTGAATCTTTTATTATGTGCCAGCCACACGCCTATTTTACAGTTGAGTGATTTTTTGTATGTCCAGGTAGTATATAAGGCCAGGTGACCTGAGTAGTATCCGATACCGACCGTGCAAGGGCTGTATAGCCAGTCAAGGTCGTTAAAAACTTCCATATATATAGTATCCGACTGTGCGATGGCTGTATAGCCAGTCAAGGTCGTTAAAAACATCCATCATCATAGTATCCTCTCTCACCGACCGTGCGAGGGCTGTATAGCCAGTCAAGGTCATTAAAAACTTCCATCATCATAGTATCCTCTTTTATTTCAAGGCCACACGCTTTTAAGTACGTATCAAGCAGACCTTGTTTGATCGATACACGTGTCTATACTATAGATTTTCAAATGGCAAGGTCTCGTAGACCATCTTCTTCAGAATCTGAAGATGAAAGAAACTATGAGGATATTATGAAGCTTTTTGCTTCAGAGTTTGATGCAAGTTTCTCTGGTTTTTCAGAAATATAAGTGTGAATCACGCTTCAAATACACCGGAGATCATTCAGGTTTTAGATAAACCGAAAACGGATTCTAACCTTTCACAAACTGTGAGTACAAACGTAGTCAATACTAAGAAAACAGTGGTTATGCCTCCAGGAAAAGGACCTGGAAAAGGTCCCGGTAAAAATAAGAAAGGCAAAGCACCTTTGGAACGAAGTATTGAAATTACGCAAGAGGACGAACCGTCCGCTAGTTGTTGTAAGCCAAAGGCTCCGACAAAAACTTCAAAATGTAAACAAGCTCAAGCTGAGCAGAATGAGTTATTGAAGAAATTATTTGCTGATTTGTCTAGTAACATTGTGTCTGCAATTAATGTCAAGAGTAGTGGTACTGCAGGTCCAAGTTGTGACCCCCATAGTTTTGTACAAGAACTTGAAGATAATGACATTAATGAGGTCGAAAATGACCAAAATGTTTTCAATTGGTTTGAAACTGATGATTTGTCTGAACATGAGAGTAATGTTGATCCCATACAACTTGTCGTTGAAAGTGGGGACGATGAGTTTGATTATGAAATGCCGAAATTTTTTTAGGACAATGAGGTCAGCCCTTCACTAGCATCAGTCATTGAAAAAAATTGTAAGAAAAAGTCTGATGTTACATCTTTGACTAAAGATAGTAAGATACCTAGTAACTGTAAAGCTTTAGTACCACCACCAGTTAATCCAGAAATTTGGCAATTTTTAGCCCGTAGAGCCAAGACAGAAGACTTCATTTTTCAAAATATACAAAAGTTAACAGGGGCAGGAATGGTCCCTTTGATTAAGGTGGCGGAATTACAAAGAGGGAAAAATCCCTGTATTAAAACAATTAAAGAGTTGATTTCCAAAGCTATATCAATACAATGCAATTTGCACTTTGAGATGTCTATTAAGAGGAGAATGAATCTTAAGCCACTATTGAACGTAAATTCCACCAACTGTGTAATAGAAATGAAGTTGTGGGTGAGAAATTATTTGGAGACAGGGTTGGCAAAGTATTACCCGGGGGGGAAAACCTGGGTTTTCCCGGGCTGGACAATACTCCTAGAAACAGGTAATACTGGGCAATACTGGGTAATATGATTTTTCAAGCTTATTTTTACACAAAATAGTAAAGACTTGTAAAAGAAGTTTAATAGTATTATAGCTAAATATATACATTTTATACAGAAAACCATTGAGAGTCATTCCTGAATATTGAAAATTCAATTTCTACCTTTCTCCACTAATTCTATGTAGGCAGAATACAAGTTTTGGACATTTCGGGATACCTTGTTAATTTCCAAGCTTTGTTTCAATATTAAATCCAAGTTGAAAAAATGCATTTTATTGCAGTGTTTAAGTAAATTGTAAATTTTAATTGTCATACAATCATATTGCTAAATAAACACCCTAAGGGGACAGGCCATGAACACTTATAGAAATCAAAAGGCTGATTATAAATCTGTATTATAATCTGAATAATTACTTATTAATTAGTGATGTACATAAACATATGCTAAAACTTTGTAAACATTTTTAGTAATGAACAAAAAATGTTTAAAAGTTATTTTCCTTACATAGAATTGTTAATTCTTACTATTAGATATATTTATTAAAAAAAACTAATTGAATTCTTCGACTTTAATGTATTGCATTTGTGATTAATCACTGAATCCTCTTTAAAATAAAATGCTCCGCTGGGGCGCAGCTTGATACGACCGCAGAGGTCGAACCCTGAACAGTTGGGGCAAGTATGGACACAACATTCAAGCTTGATACAGCACTGAATTTGGATTGTAATTAAATATTTGACACAGCATAGGTTTCTGACACAGAATGAAAGTGGTCTAAGAACTTAAAAATTTTCAATTTACCTATTCATACATGTGATGGACTGTGAAACTCAGATCAGGAGATTGGGAAATTTTGGTCAGGAGATTAGGACTCAGATCAGGAGGTTTTTAATCGACATTAATTTTGTTGTAAATGTAACCGTGTGCTGTAAAAATGGTCTTTTAAAGTGTGTTTTCTTCAACTTTCCAACCAATTTATTATGTTTATAGTACCCTTGTACTTATAAAGTTTCTCCATCTTTATATTCTACATGTTCAATCTAACATTGTTTTTTTCCAGTATGTTCTTTAAATTTTTTACTTCATATTCTATAAAACAATCATTGCAACCAGAACATTTGTTTAGCTGTCTGCAAATAGTTTTTATTTTTTTTTTTTTCTCTTGCAAATAGTTTTTATTTGCAAACTCAGAAATTCATTCTATCTGTAAAGTTAGGGTCATAGTTATTATATAAATTTCAATTTAAGCCTTAAAAGGAAGTATAGAATCCTCAAATAGTTTTCAAATTATTATTTTTTTATTTGTCCTAAGACATTTAAAATCATTTAATAACCATCCTTTTATGATTATTTGTTCAATTTATATTTTATTTATATTCTTTTAAAAATTTTCATTATTAAAAGGAAAGTAACTTAAAACAGGATAAATCAAGGGAAGTAACCCAATAAATACACAGTTTTTGTTACACAACGGCAGTTAGCCTGAGGTAAAAATCATTGCTTACCAGTATGTTTGACACCCAAGCTGACAAGTGAAGCCATATAATTATGCATGTTAATTGATTTACAGGTAAAATATAACTTCAGGTAATGTCAGTTACACCAGATGCCTGAGATGTTATGTTGGGCAGAAATTTTTCATTCATGAAAAATTTCATACACAGGATTTTTTCAACTGGAGGGGGGAGGAGACCCCTGCAAACGGGATTATTGTACTCCAGTCGGGAGGTTCACATGTATGCCTATTCAAACCATATCATTATTATTTGCTTTTATATATAAATCAGAAATAACCAATTTAAAATGGAAAATGTTAAAGAAAAAAAAGGAAAAAAAAAATCCCCCCCCCCCAATTTTTTGAACCCCCTTATGATTCATCGCCCCCCAAACTCAATCCCAGCTTTCCCTTTGTGGTATGGTACCTTGCAGTACAATTTCAGAGAGATTCATACACTTGAACACAAGTTATTGTCTGGAAACTAGAAAAATGCTTGTTTTTTGGCCCCTTTTTGGCCCCAAATTCCTAAACGTTTAGGGCAATTACCCCCAAACTCAATTCCAGCTTTCCCTTTGTGATATGGAACCTTGCAGTACAATTTCATAAAGATCCATACACTTACACACAAGTTATTGTCCTGAAACTAGAAAAATGCATGTTTTTTTTGCCCTTTTATGGCCCCTAATTACTAAAATTTTGAGGGAAAACCCCCAAAATCAATCCCAGCCTTCCCTTTGTGATATGGAACCTTGTAGTACAATTTCATAAAGATCCATACACTTACAAACAAGTTATTGTCATGAAACTAGAAAAATGCTTGTTTTTTGCCCCTTTTTGGCCCCTAATTCCTAATATTTGGAGGAAATTACCCCAAAAATCAATCCCAGTATTCCCTTTGTGATATGGAACCTTGTAGTACAATTTCATAAAGATCCATACACTTACAAACAAGTTATTGTCATGAAACTAGAAAAATGCTTGTTTTTTGCCCCTTTTTGGCCCCTAATTCCTAAAATTTGGAGACAATTACCCCCAAAATCAATCCCAGCATTCCCTTTGTGATATGGAACCTTGTGGTACAATGTCAGAGAGATCCATACACTTACACACAAGTTATGTCTGGAAGTTACAAAAATGCTTATTTTTGGCCCCTTTTGGCCCCTAATTCCTTAACTGTTAGTACCATAACCCCCAAAATCAATCCCCACCTTCCTTTTGTGGTATTGAACCTTATGGTAAAATTTCAATGAGATCCATTCACTTAAACTAAAGTTAGAGTACGAAAACTAATGTGTATTCGGACGACGACGCCGGACGACGACGACGACGACGACGACGCCAACGTCATACCAATATACGACCACAAAAATTTTTTTGCGGTCGTATAAAAATTCAGGCCAGTATTTCACATTACCCAGTATTGCCCAGTATTACCTGGTAAAACCCAGTAAAACCCGGGTTTTCCCAGTATTTCCCACTAGGCTGAACAATACTCATAAAACTCGGGTTTTTACCAACCCTGTTTGGAGATGACATCAGTAAAAGACTGAGGGAAATAAATGATGCCCAAAAGATTAACAAAAACATCAGCTAAAAAAACTTCAGAGGCCGATTTTATCACATAGGGTACCGGTTTGGAACGTCAAACCCAAGAGGCAATTTCAGAGGGCAAAGCCTGTACTCAAGAGGGTCATTCAGACATTACCCAT